TTGTTAAGAAGTGATAGCAAAGATTTATATTGTTAGAAAATATTTATATTTTGATTAAATGCTGTTTGTTTGTTTTACAACTTTTTATTCATCAAAGAATCCTGGAAAAAGTATTACAGTTTCCAAAAAAAATATTTGGCAGCACAACCATAGGACTTTGGTTAATCTTTGAAACACAAGTTAAGATATTTATTTAATGAAACCTGAGAGGTTTCTGTCCATTTATTGAAAGTCCAGGTAACCAAAACTTGTAAAACGTCATAAAGGCGTAAAACGAATCTAAGTGGTTTAATCCAAGTCTTGTGAAGAGGGTATGATCGCTTTATATGATGAACAGATTTAATTTAGGCTTTTATTTACATCTAAATTGTAGACATGCATATATAGCATGTCACACATGTTAAACACAGAAGCTCAAAGATTCTAGAACAAACCTCATTGGCTCTGGTGCATCACACTCACATTACGCATACACAAACTTTCGTGTTTACCATTACCATTTACATTTGTGATTCAGTCTATGTTTGTGTTTATTTGTGAATAAAAGCCTAAATTAAATCTGTTCATCATATACAGCTATCATATCTCTTCACACGTGATGGATTAAACCACTCGATATATATGGATTTATTAAATTAATTTTACGATGCCTTCATGAACTTTTCGGATCTTCTAAGTTTTAGTTACCTGGACTTTTAATGGACGAACACGATTAATAAACTAATAAATGCTTTAGAAGTATTTTTCCATTGTTAGTTCATGTTAACTAAAACGACTTTGGGGAAGTCGTGGCCTAATGGTTAGAGAGTCGAACTCGTAACCCAAAGGTTGCGGGTTTGAGTCTCGTACCGGCAGGGATTGTAGGTGGGGGGAGTGAATGTACAGCGCTCTCTTCCACCTTCAATACCACGACTAAGGTGCCCTTGAGCAAGGCACCGAACCCCCAACTGCTCCCCGGGCGCTGCAGCAAAAAATGGCTGCCCACTGCTCCGAATGCAGAGCACTAATTCCGAGTATGGGTCACCATACTTGGCCACATGTCACGTCACTTTCACTAATGTAGTTAATGAACTTTATTGTAAATTGTTAACGTTTTCATCATTGTGCTATACCAACATCTTTGTTTCAATGTATTTAATTTGTCACAATAATTTATAGCATGTCCTTTCTACATGATTGTATGAGTTTTAAGAGTTTATCCAGAATTTCTTCTTCAGCAATATACAGTTATATAACGATACTTCATGAGCAAAACTGTATTATGACCATAGCTCACAACAGGTAATCAATGACAACTTTCTGTTTCTAAGAAGTTATTTGAAGCAGGGCTATTGCTTTGATATATAAAATATAATGTATCTGCTTTTATTCAATTAACAATCAGTTAATATTGAGTACATTTTAGACACTGTGTATGTCCAGTCATTTTGTCTGTGTTTGTTCCAACAATGAAAACTACAACACAGTGGGTCTGTAGTGTCATTTCGTTCCTGAATGAATTGGTACAGTCAATTAGTTGATAAAATGATTCAAATAACAATCTTATACATTCACTTGCTTTGCTCCTGAATGAGTCAGAGTTTTTGAATGAATCAGTTTAGTGAATGATTCAAATGACTCACTCCTAAAGACAGTCATTTGCCGCCACCTACTGGCATAATGATGTAACCTGTAGAAACACTAACTGAAAAAATAGACCGGAACTAACTGTTATTATAAAATAAAGAGGTCAGAAACAAAACTCATCACTGCAGGCTGTCATTTTTTTCTGTTTTTATTTGATATTATCTTAATTTAAAATATAATGTATATATAATTTTTTTTTTTTTTAAAAGTACACTCTCTAGACCAGCAAATTCTGTTCTTTAAGATGGTGCAAATCAACAGGAGCTCTATGATCTACATTGAAAAGATCTGTTTTAAGCATGTAACATCACAAAGGGAGCAAGTCTTCATTTACCCAGATTCATTAAAAGAACACCAAAACAACAACCCACCATATACAATTTAATTCTTGTAGCTAAGCAGCATATCCGAGGAGTACGTAATTCAAAGATAGTTTCCTCTTTGAATATACAACAGTCTCTGCATTGCTGTGCAAAGCTGACTCCTTCCATTCATTTTGTGTGCTTTTAAAGCATGCCTGTTGTTCTGCAAGCAAAAAGAGAATATCTGAGAACCCAAGGAAGGAAGTGGGCTAAAAACAGAGGAAAGGGAGAGAAACTCAGCGAGATCAGGCTACTCTGTTGCTGTAGCTGATTGTAGTCTAGTCTAGTCTCAGAGCGCCTGGCGCCAACGGAGCAGGCCATAAACTTCTAGACGATAGAGAGAGATAGAGCTCATACTCTTACTTGTGCGAGTAAACAAAGAGTTTACTTCACTTAGCGTGCAATTCCCTTTGCATTTGTGCTGCACAGTCGATGCAAATAAATTTATCTTGTGCCTCGTCATTTCAGAACTATTATCTTCAAAGTGGCACACAAGAATAAATTATTACAATAACACAGGTAAAAACGTGTACAACTGTGGACCTCTGCTGAGATTCAAGTACGCTTCGGGGGAAAAAAAGAAAGAAAAACAGAGGCAAAGATGTACAAACACAGACAGAGAGATATGAAGATTACAAGTGTTTGCGTTCATCAGTAAACCTGCATAACCAGAGACAGGCGTGTCCCGTCAGCAGTAATAGACTTTGCGTGCATCTGTGCCAACCGGTGTTTACGTCAGTGGGTACAAAGACTACATCTAATCTCCAGGAGAGAGGCACAGAGAGAGAGAAAGAGGACGGAAAAGGGAGATGACCATTCCAGGGGCCAGCAGGGCTCCTTGGGGTAAGCTGAATTAAGTAAGAGATCGAGAAAAAGAAATAGAGAGCGCGAGGGGTGGAGAGGCAGAGAGGAGAGAGTAAATCAATGGAGGAGATTTGAGACAGGAAGACTATGGCGTCAGTACAGGCTGGAGATAAGGCCTTCAGTTCCATACACAAACACACTTGTTCTCTCGGGCCGAACAGCTACACATACTTTGTCTCACTGTCAACTGACCAGACACCCACAGGTCCTCTCTGCTGGTGCTTTTCATCACCGCTCATGCACTGCTATAGGGAGTTTATGCTCCTTGGTGCTCCCTGACGTCCCCTGTTGAAATGACTACCCCTGTGATTATGGTTAGTACTTTTTTTTATTTATTGTATATGTGAGATGATTTTTACTTTTTCACTCAAAACACAAAGTCATTCAGGCCGGTTTGTTTTGCTCCTCTATTTTCTCTGCCTGTAAACTCTCTTAATATAAAGTTGAACTCTGTCAAAACAGTAACAATAGATTGGCTGAACTCACATGTATTTTGTCCTTGAATAAGCAAGATCCACAACACTATAAGGTGAGGAAACACGGGCCTGACTGAGAAACGTGCGAGTCTGGCCAGAGGTCAGAGGAACTTTTCCTCAAAGATAAGCAAGAGAGACAGCCCTTATGAAAAAGAAGTTTATTCAAGTGTGCTATTAGTATACTTCTTCTCAGAAATATACTTAAAATGACATTTAAGTATACTTAACTTATAACCTACTTAGAAAAAGTCTAATTATACTTGAGCTATACTTGTGTTCCTAGAATCTGTGTTTTCATTGTTATACTGTAGGGGGCGCTAGTACACATTTTATACTTAATAAAATAAACTTGAAGTATACTACTTTTTGGTAAGGGAGAGTATATACAGACTTAAGGAAAAAGCTACTTCTTTCAGGAAGAACCCTCTGCTTTGAAAGTAATGTTGAGTATGAGTTTACCAAGAATGTGTGCATGTTTTCGTGTGTGTTTTTGGCTCTGATTTGGACTGACACAGGAGCAGGAAAAACAGAGGAACTGAACTCCTCTACAAAAAAGATAACTTTGGGTTATTTTTCCCCCACTGCTTTCTTTCTGTCATTTCTGTATTCTGTTCCTCTTGTGACTTAAATATTATTGTATGATCACTGCCAACTTCATTATGTTAGCTAAATTACTCAAAAAGTACTTTCAAGGCTGCATTCTGAGGCACTGAGGTGCTATTTTAGTACCCCTTAAACCGCTGTAGTGTCTTTG